TTTTCGAAAGATGACAAGTCGAACAAACAGAAGTGATTCATATCAGGGTAATACTCCGGTCCAAGCAGGGAAATTAATGAAAATGAGAGAGTCTTGTCGGTGAAACCCTTCACAGGCACAATAAGATGATGGAAGTTGAGAGAAATAAAATGAGAGAGTCTTATCGGTGAAAACCTTCATAGGCACCATAGGGCGACGGGAGTTGAGAGAAACGAGAGAGTCTTATTAGTGAAAACCCCTCGAAGGGCACTATAAGGCGACAAGGAATTGAAAGTGGACAAACGAGGTAAGGTTGACAAAAATGATCCGTCGAGGCATCAAGCAGAACAAAGATGTTGATTCGGCAAAAGAGTTGGGTTGCAGGACCTTTTGAAATGAAAAGTAAGGCCATCAGAAAGATTGATTGATATAATAGACTAGGTTGATTAATACGAAATGCACGACATGATCATTGAGATCGGTTATACCATTCAGATAAGTCCTTTTCCTTTTCTTCTCTTCAAACAATTCTTTAGGAAGAATTTTCTTTTTATCTTTTGAAGTCATCATCTTTCATTTCTTTTGGTTAAAGATTTTTTTTATATATAGTAGTTTGTTTTTTAGAAGGATTTTCGGAGCTTACTACCAGTTTCCAATATGGTGCAAAGTAAAATGTGGATAGGACAGGCCAAAGATAATGTGATGGGATGGGAAAGACGTCATTATAAGACCAAATGATGGATTACTCTAAGATGTCGTGGAAAGTATGGAGTAAAAGTGGAAAATAACGGTTGAGAAGTTGGTGAATACAGAAGCATCAAGAAGGTCGGAAGTTATCAGCCAAGTTTCAAGATAGTCGAACAACGCATAGCATGGAAAAAGAAAAAGGGAAAAACATCCTCAGCATGAACGTCCCCTGCGTTTTAAACTAACAAATTTTCTTTGATTGGAAGCAGGGACAGGAAATGTTACTGATGACGGAAAGACATGCCACAAGAAAGATTGTCAAACTGGGGCAGAAAATTTTCTTTCATTTCGAAAATTTTCTGGAAGTCTAACACAAGTTTTGAGGGAAGCGGTATCCCCAACAGTTTCGGAAGAAGGCAATACAAGTTTTGAAGAAAGCAATTTCGGGAGGAAGATAACACAAGTCTTAAGGGAAGTAGTTCCAGAGGAGGAAAAACACGAGCTTTAAGGGAATTAGTCTTTGAAGGAGGAGAATAACATATTTTTGAATGAAACACCAGTGTTATCCCCCAACAGTTTTCAGAGGAATGAAACACCAGTTTTGAGGGAAGCAGTTCTGAAAAAAGATTATTCAAGTTAGAAGGAAAATGGTTCCGTAGGCAGGAAGGAACAACGGCAATAGAACATATTTTTAAGAAGTAGTTGAAGTCAGGAGCCCGCCTGGAGAATGGAGGTGTTATATTTTTAAGAAGTAGTTGAAGTCAGGAGCCCGCCTGGAGAATGGAGGTGTTATATTTTTAAGAAGTTGTTGAAGTCAGGAGCCCGCCTGGAGAATGGAGGTATTCTATTTTTAAGAAGTAGTCGAAGTCAGGAGCCCGCCTGGAGAATGGAGGTACTATATTATTAAGAAGTTGTTGAAGTCAGGAGCCCGCCTGGAGAATGGAGGTATTCTATTTTTAAAAAGTAGTTGAAATCAGGAGCCCGCCTTAAAAATAGAGGTATTATATTTTTAAGAAGTTGTTGAAGTCAGGAGCCCACCTGGAGAATGGAGGTATTCTATTTTTAAGAAGTAGTTGAAGTCAGGAGCCCGCCTGGAGAATGGAGGTATTATATTATTAAGAAGTTGTTGAAGTCAGGAACCCGCCTGGAGAATGGAGGTATTCTATTTTTAAGAAGTAGTTGAAATCAGGAGCCCGCTTGGAGAATGGAGGTGTTATATTTTTAAGAAGTTGTTGAAGTCAGGAGCCCGCCTGGAGAATGGAGGTTGTTATATTAAGAAGTTGTTGAAGTCAGGAGGAATGGAGGTGTTATATTTTTAAGAAGTTGAAGTCAGGAGCCCGCCTGGAGAAT